AAAGAATGCTAACACAATAAAGAAGTAATTAGAATTATTATAGCCATGGTTTCAAATCATATCAAAATTCTATAGAGACAGATTTCTAGTAGTTTACTTCTTTAGAACCTTTTTATTCCAATTCTACAATACCTTAATGCTTATCTATCACACACAATTAAAAGTGATATACACTTTTACTGTTACAATAGTTTTCTTTACGCTTCTACAGGTCTTCCAGTATCAGACTCTCAAAGAACTCTCTAAAACAAGTAACATGCCCATTTTACAAGTGGAAAGACACATGAAATAACTTGCCCAGTTGAAGAAAAATAAATCCAGACCTTCCTGTTTCCAAGGTATCTTCCTACAGTTCTACTGCACTTGTGATTAAGCCAGGATATATATCAAATATTCTACACATTACTGAAAACATGAAGTTTTTTCCAAGCCAATATGTTAAAGTAAAATTAGTTCTGTAAGGAGAATGTTAATGGGAACCTCTAGTCAGACACCCACTGAGCCATCAAATATGAAATAACCATCGCAAATTCATCCATACTCCACAAGCAACAATTCAACACAAGGGAATAATGAAAAAGAAAATCCCTTTCATAAGACTTTATTAAAGAAAGGCATAACTTTTGTATGGTATGTCTACGTTTTGTATTCTGACTTTAAGATCTGCCCTTCAAATGCTGAGCATTATTACACAACAGAAACCTTGTCCGCATATTTTCCCAGAAATTTGCATTCGTCCACTTCACTTACCTTACAGGGCCATTTACAGAAATGAAGACAGAAAAAAATAAAACTTCTCCATTATAAATATTATTCTCTGTCACATAATATTAGTTGTAAGGTTGAATGAAGCGACATTTTCAATGGCATTTTATTAAGTGTAACTTAATACATAAGACATCCAAACATCTTTTTGCTTTTATTCTAGGCAGTAAAGCGAGATTCATTTTTAATTTTGACTCCTTTTCGATAAGTGAAAAACAATAGCACATTATAAATACTTTCTAATACAACTCATGCAAACTATTTCAAATTGCTTTCTTCTTTTAGACGTTTTTCTTGAACAGATTATTTTCCAGAACCTGGCAGAGTATTTTAAAATTGTTATTTCTGTAGCTAAGTTTTAACACTCGTAACCTACAAGCCAATGTCAGACTTGTCCAAGACTAACGTGCGTAGAGTCAGCAAGAAGATACAGTTAAGACTTAATCAAAATGCAAAGCTGCTTTTACTCACTGGTGCTTCAGACATAAGGACAGGATGCAAACTTGCTTCAGATTTAATATGCATCTTGTAAGTGTGATCCAAAATTGCCTGGAAGCTATCCCAGTCTTCAACTGTAACAACATTGAAGCGAGCAGATTAGTTACTTCTAAGTTTTGTTCCATTTCGTAAATACATAAAAGTTTTCCAATGCTTTTTTTGCATAGCGCTCTTTTGTCAAAAGCTATCCTCAGCAGACATACACCTCCTTTAATAGCTTTGAGAATTCTCTTCCTCTGTAAGCATCGTGATCATAACATTTGAAGAATTATGCTGAAAGTCCACTAACACTGTAAACCAACTGTACGTCATGCAATTTGTAAATCAGGTATCTGTTCTTACGGCTTATGTTGCCATACATAGCACTTGTTTACATGAAAGCTGTGACTTTTTGCAGCTCAGCAATTCTATTTTAAAAACAGGTAGAAAAAGACAGAGCACCATACTCATTCCATTTTTTAAAGGTGAAATGGCCTCCATATTTTCCCTTGGAACTCTCAGGGCATTGGTGTCTATATAGTAAGTTGGGCCCCCTTGTTTGCCTTTGTCACCATCTATCTCCATCAGAGTGCTGCCATTGTCCCTTTCTAGCACCACACCAATGGCTGTTGGAAAATCAACCTGTAAGGCAAAAGGTAAGCAGTATATGAGAATTATTAATATTTTGGGTGGGTTATTTGCTCATAAATTCAGAGCTTTCCTTATACAATACAGTCAGAACAAAACCCAGCGTATTCTGAAAACTCATAACTAACAAACAAGATCTAAGGCATAAATTCATGTTGCATTTCCATTGAGTCACACAGATTCTCACCTTTGGACAGTCCTCGCCTGCATAGCCTGCTCTCACCGTATACGAGCCAATGTCAAAAACAAGAGCCCCAACTTCATCTGAAAAGATTGTTAACAAAGAGGTGGTGAATCATTATTACACTCTGCTACAATCCTGACCTTTCCCTGCCCACTGTGTTTTGCTTGCAAAAGAAGAAAAGCAAGTGAAGGCATCTTTTTCAAGGCAAGGAGAAACTTCTCTATTCAGAACACCAGTTACCGAAGAGCTATTAGAAGACTGCAGATAGGCTTTAGCTGGGACATTACAGTACTTCCCTTTGGCATAAGTAAAAGGGGAATTTTAACAGAAGAGTGAGAATGTAGTTGCATCTAAATATATTACAATACAAAGCTTTCAAAAAGTACTAATTTAACAGTCACGCAAATCCAGGTGAGCCCAGACCTCGTGGGGGTGACCAGAATTAGAAAGGTGGGCCTGAAAACACCAACTCTGTCAGTGAAGGCTGCCACACCACGAAGCGCCCTCATCCTTGTGGGCTCCAATCCTCGCTGAGGTGCTCTGCGCACCCTAAAGAAAACCAAAGTCTGAAACAAAACACCTGGACTTCAGTCCTCACGGAAGGGTGTACAGATGTGCTCTGGGAGGAAACTACACCCCAGTTTCCAAAGCGCGGGGTCTTCTCGGGCCACCCGGCACCTGAGCAGCGCTAGTTCAGCCCAAGGCCACGGCTTGGCCGGTCGCCGGGGGAAGCATCTCAGCGAAACGATGCCGGGAGGAACATAAACAAGGCCTGCAGCCGCCTCCTTTTCCTCACGCATGCTGCCACCCCGCGTCTAAGAAACGGAGGGACCAGGAGGACTCCTGCTCCGCTGCGGAGTTGTGGGAGAACCGTGCCGCGGCCCCCCGTGCTCGGGGCCTGAGGGAACGGCGGGGAGGCGGGAAGCGCCCGGGGGAGGCTCGCACGCGCTGCCTCACGGGACGGCGCCGAGCTCAACGGTCGCGGGGCGGGGGAGGGGAGGACAGGCAAGCGAGGCGGCGCCGGACTCACCTCCCCCATACACGCCGCCACTCATGGCTAACCCCGGGCCCGCGCCGCGCCGCCCCTTTTTTTTTGTGTGAGGAGAGTGGCGAGGCGGGGAGGGGTGAGGAGGGGGCTGGTGAGGCGGGGGGGCGGGGCCATGCCGCGGACAGCCAATCCTGAGGCAGCAAGGGGAGGGCCGGCCCCGAAAACACGACTG